TCTCTGTGTGTGATGGAGGCTAGTGGATCTTTTAGAAGATCTGTTACATCTCTGAGGTCAGGAACCCAACAAGAGCTCAGGTTTCAATTAGCTACAATCCCCCCCCCATGCTGGCAAAGTCCTTAAGCATCTCCCATGGCACCTTCAGAGTTTTTGGTGTAGGTCTTCTGTTAACAGAATAACAGAGTTTGAAGGGACTGATAAAAGTTGTTGGATGAGAAGCAAAACATTTTTTTTTCTTTTTCCTCAAGGAAAAAAACTGTCCAGCTGCTGCTTGAAAAAGCACCTTTGGTACAATTATAACCTGGATGACTGAGATTCTCCACAGACATGCTAATACTACTTTTAATAGAGGGTTAAGCAATGGAATCTTATAATTTTGAATGTCCTTCCCCTCTTCCCCCCTTTAGCTTCATGAGAACCAGAGGATCTTGCCTTACTGCTTTCTCAGATTACAGATCTGGCCCAGACTCAAATTTCTTTTATTCGGCTGGTGTCTTACTTGTCGCTCTTCCTTCTGTTCCTCAAGGTTATTCCTTCTAGCCATTACAGTAAAGCCTTTAAGGTCTTGACCTGGCACTAGATACATTCATCCAGGAAACTGTCCAAGGTAGGGCCACTCCAGTTTCCCAGCCCAATCTACGCACAGTTGCTGCTGTTGTGATAAAATAAAGGGACAAACCCCCCCCCCCCCAAGATCTAAGCTGTCTCAAACTTTCATGAGGAGAGATAGAATGGAAATATAAATAAGAAAACTGAGCGATGTATCACTTTGGAGCAAAAAAGAAACACCACCCTCCCATGGGGGAAAAAAAAATCTGCCAGCATTTGGAATGGATTCCAGCTCTCATTACAGTCAACATCGGAAGCCCTTTAAAATCCTATCAGCCATCTGCACCATCTCAGCCTCCTGCAGTTGGATGGACTCCTGAAGCATTGGACAATCACTCTTGGAATTCCCAGTGAGCCCTGCCAGCTGAGGACGCTGGAAATTATAGCCCACTGTGCATGGAAGCTGCTAATTTGCAGAAGGTGTACCAAGCATATGCTTAATAGCTAATTTCTATCCTCGTAATAAGCAGCAGTTAATAATAATTACGGTTGGCTGTCCTCCGTTTAGAGACTTCCATGCAATCCTGCAGAACCAGCTTTATTTTAAGTAGCTGCTTTAATGGTCTTTGGGGCTGGAAAGACTCTGATGGGCTGCGAGGGGCCGTGGTAGAAAGGGTGGAACCATATTAGAACATCAGCATAATAGAGCTGGAAGGGACCTTGAGATCTTCTAGTCCAACCCCCTGGTCGAGCAGGAGATCCTATATAGGTAGTCCACAATTGAGCCCAACTTTTCTCTTGGTAAGCGAGATGGTTGCTAAGTGAATTTTGCGCCATTTTACGACCTTTCTTGCCACCGTTATTAAATGAATCACTGGAGTTGATCAGTTAGTAACCTGGTTGTTAAGTGAACCTGGCTTTCCCATTGACTTTGATTGTCAGAAGGTGATCACATGACCCTGGGATGCTGCAACTGTCGTAAATAGGAGTCAGTTGCCGAGCATCCGAATTTTGATCATAATGATCATGGGGATGCTGCAGTTGTCATAAGTGTGAAAATGGTCATAAATCACTTTTTTTCCAGTGGAGTTGTAACTTTGATCAGTCACTAAATCAGGGGTTCCCAACCAGGGGTGCTTGTACCCCCTGGGGGTGCGAGACGATATTCCAGGGCGTGCAAAAACCTGGGTTTTCAAAATTATAGTGAATATGCATAATTCATTGCCGTTGTTTTGAACTTTTGTAAGGGGTGCGAGAATATATCAGAAGCGTTCTAGGGGTGCGGGATATAGAAAAGGTTGGGAACCCGTTGCACTAAATGGACTATTTTAAGTCAAGGATTACCTGGACCATTTTGGACAAACAGATGTCCCACCCTAAGAATTTCTAGGATGATTTTTTTCAGTAGTCATACATTAGATTAGTTATGTAGCCTCGCCTAGTTAGGATTAGTAGTCATACACTGGATTAATTCCAGTAGAGTCTTCCCCTAGGAGAATGTCTGTTTGCACTTATAGCAGAGGGAACAAAAAATAAGCATTGAAGGACCCCATTCCTTGATATATCCTCCGCCTCCTTTAAATTCCACATGGAGGAACGAGGGGCCACATGGCCTTGAATGCAGCCCAACATCCCTGGGAAAAGCATCTGGTCCCCACTTGGCATTTTGGCAGCAGTTTGATGTAAGCCCTTTTATTACCCAGCTCCAACCAATTCCTTGTGCCAAGGATGCTAATAATATACTAATCAGCGAGGTTCTGGATTGTTCAGGAGACGCGATCCCATGCGTGGTGAGTGAGGAGCGAGCGGGGAGCCAAGAGGGAGGAACGCCGAAGCGTTCTCCCAAGGGCCGTTTTGCTAGGCAACGCCACAGCCTTTTGCTTGCAGGTGGGAGAGAGTTTTATTTACTCCTCCGGGGTGGGGGGGATGGTGGAGGGCCTACAGAACCGGGCAGGGGCCGAGAGTAAAGAAAGATGGGCCTTTATTTTTGGTTGAGCCCTTTCGATGCGAGTAATTTTTATGGTTCCATTAACTGGTGAGATCGTTTGCGAAAGAACATTAGGAGAAGCGCCTTGGGGAGCCGTGTATCCTATTATATGGAATGCTAATAGAATGAAAAATTAATTAAAGGGAAGCTTACAGCAGGACAGGCACTCTTCCTTGCCTCTCCCTCCCTTCGTGGATGGACCTAGAAATGTGTGCTAACAGAAAAATTGACCTGGAATGGAATTGCTGATATTGACAATTTTACGGACAAGCTAGAGCTGATCTATCAAGCCTCCAACTGCTACATTTAATCAGTTGAATAGGGAAGGTGTCCTTTTAGTCGTCTCTTGTTCTGTAGCTCATTCTCTTCCAGAAAAATGGGGAAAAAACTCTTTTACTGATAGGGAGATTGAGGTCAATTGAACAGTGTAATTAATCCAACCAAGGTCATCGCACAGAGGTATAACTTCTTGGAAATTTAAGTTCGGATTTATCTTTCTCCTGCTTCACATCTGGATATGCATTAACATTGATATATTTCTTTTATTTTCACAACCCTTGAGTCCCTGCAAGAGATCTTTAGGAACCTTCTCAAATGCTCAGGGGTAGAAAAGCAGTAATTAAATACTCAAAAGAGTTACAGACAACAGGGGATTCGACAGCAGAATTCAAGCTGCTGTTATCTGGCATATTCTAGCCATTAAATGTACACATGGGATAACTGTGTTTTCTCACTTATTTGAATTTGCATTTCCTCCGTCTTCCATTAGGAAAGGGGGAAGGGAACACCAAAGAAATGAATATTTTGTCTGCCTTTGCAAATTTGGCCCTCAACAATTGTCTGCTATCCAATTTACCACTACAATTTTCTTTCTTGTCTGGTCATCAAAGCAGACATGAAAAGAGTAACTTTTTCAAACCAAAATAGCAGTTTATTCAGATTGGGCTCCTGATAGATGAATGTAGAATATAGAATAAAAGTTTTGGAAGGGACCTTGGAGGTCTACTAGTCCAAGCCCCTGCTCAGGCAGGAGATCATGCTGGACAAATGGCTGTCCAATCTTTTCTTGGAAGACCTCTAGTGATGGACCACCCACAACTTCTCCGATTTAATTATTCTTACTATCAGGAAATTTCTCCTTAATTCTAGCTTGGGTCTCTCTTTGATAAGTTTCTATCCATTGCTTCTTGCCCTGCCCTCAGTTTTTTGGAGAATAGGCCAACTATCTCTGTTTTAATGACAGCCCTTCAAATATTGAAAGATGCTAGCTACCATGTCACCCCTAGTCCTTCTTTTGGTTAGACTAGACCAGGGGTAGGCAACCTTGGCTCTTTTATGACTCATGGACTTCAACTCCCAGAATTCCTGAGTCAGCATTCCTGAGTTGAAGTCCATGAGTCATAAAAGAGTTGAGTTGCCTACCCTTGGACTAGACATTCTGAGTTCCCGCAACCGTTCTTCGTATATTTTAGCCTCCAGTCCCCTAATCACGTTTGTTGCTCTTTTCTGCAGTCTTTCCAGAGTCTCAACATCTTTTTTCTATTGTGGCGACCAAAATTGGATGCAGTATTCCAAGTGTGGTCTTAACCAAGGTTTTGTAAAGCGGTACTAATACTTCACGTGATCTTGATTTCATTCCTCTGTTGATGCAGCCCAGAACTGCATCCGTCTTAAGTGCATAAGCTTTAATCCTTCCTCCATAATCATCAAAGACCAGCCCTCCTAAAATTTGAATTGGAAGCTCTGGGACCATGAATCTAGAGGGAGATTGCAGGAAAAGACCAAGGATTTACTTCCTCTGTCCCCATCAGAACAAAACTTCCCGTCTTTCTGATGCTGTTTTCGGAAGCCGTTCTTGCAACTTGCTAATTCTGTGGGTTGTGCTTGACTTAGCTTGGCTGGGAGGCAGTCATCAATCAAAGCAGCATAGATTTTTTTTAAGCTGGGTTTTTAATGATTTTTATTGTATATGAATATTTGTAGGCTGCCCAGAGCCCGAGGAGAAGTGGGTGGCATATAAATTTTTCAAATGAACAACCATCTTTCTGATTCTGCACAGCTTTCTCTTTGATTTCACCACTGGGCTTATATTAGCGACATGCTATACCAAGCGTTTCTCAACCTTGGCAACTTTAAGAGGGATGGACTTCAACTTCCAGAATTCCACAGCCTGGGAGTTGAAGTCCATCCCTCTTAAAGTTGCCAAGGTTGAGAAACACTGTGCTAAACTGTAATGGGGCAACCTTAAGTTCAACCGTGTTGTACCTGTACAAGCTCGCAATTTCCTTCCAGGTACAATTCAAGGAGCTAGTTATTGCTCTTAATGCCCCCCATGGTAGGGCATTAAAAAGATAGCCAACAAGGTTGCTGGAAATTTTAATTTAAATTTTAGCATACACATATTATGCCAGCTTTTCTGGCCTGTGACACTGAGGTAATGCGTATCTCTTTCTCTTCCTAGCTCTCTGCACTGAAGAATGTGTCCACGGCCGGTGTGTGTCTCCTGACACTTGCCACTGCGAACCAGGATGGGGAGGGCCAGACTGCTCCAGCGGTAAGTCGAAGAGCAAAGTTGCCTCGGTATCCCATAATTAAGAAATAACCTGCCTTCTGCAACAGTGTGGCTTATGCTTGAAACAGGGGAAGAGCTGTCTTCGAAGTGGACGCCCTCCGTGATAAATCCCTTCCTTAAAATGCCGGGTTTCTATTTTGAGATAAGGATCGTTCCAAGAAAGCCGTGGTTCTCTTACGGTTTTATTCTTAGATACTTTTCTGCAAAGTCGTTTTTTAAAAATGTCATCCCTCTGCTATTAGTCATTCATTGTTCGGCGTCCAAGCCGCTTCGCTCGCGGCTGCAGAGAAAGAGCCTGGCACTCTCTGTGCTCGGGATCCATTCTGCTTTCTAGGTGGGAGGTGGAATTCTTCCTGCAAACAGAAAACTGGTGCTTGTTATGATTGCTAAATGCAACGTGGCTGGACAAAGAGGTTACAGGGGCTCATTAGCTCGTATCTGTGCCAAGATCCTGGGCGAAGCACACAGAGACACTTATTCTTCTCCTCTCCCTGTCAGCCTGAATTATCCCTTTTTCCAGTAACTCTCTCACAAACTTCTAAAACACCTTTTACCTGGGCTGAATCCAATTCTGTGACCGCCTCGGTGAAGCACTGACCTATTTAAGGTCTCTCAACTGTGCAGGAGCTATTTTGAAGTTTCACTTCTTGTGCTATATGGCCTTATTTTTCCGGGGGGGGGGGAAGGTTTGTGTCTATGTGTGTATTTGTAAAATTGTCTGATTCACCGCCAGCCATTTGGAAATAATCAGGGTTGTCCGCTGCATTCAAATCCTTCTTTTTGCAAAAGCCCTAATTCTGTAACGCCTTCTTAATTGGCAAGTGAGTTGTACATTTGGTGGCTCTCTGACTTTATTTTATTTTTATTTTTTTTGCTAAAGCAGAAGTCTAGTGCAGCACCCACAATCAACAGTGGTGCGTTATGCAAACCGCGACGGTGTATCTGTCACTGTTATAATGAGACAAAGCTTGTTAACTCTGCTAGAACAGCCTGGTTCCAAAGAAAGGAAAAGAAAAGAGTTATTAATTCACTACCTCCTATTTGCACTATTGATCAGAAATTTTTGACAAGCACCTCCAACAAGGATGAGGATAATAGAATGATACTTCTGGGACGTTCTCCCCAGATGCTGCTCTGACCTTTTGTGGTGGTGCCCTTGGTTCAGGTTCAGCTGGAGAGGTTGGCTGAAGTCATGGCTGCAGTTCAATGTGACACATCTCCTCTCCACGTCCAGTGTGGTTGTGCAGATGGGCTTAAGATAGAGGAGGCAGGAAAGAGAATCGCAAGTGGAGGCTCTTTCTGGGAGAATCCAAAATGGCAGTAAGGAAGAAAGAAAAAAGGACACATTTCTTACAGAATACGGAATACAGTAGTACTATGGTACTCACCATTAATTGGTTCCAGGAGGCACGATGAATACCAAAAATGATGCATACCAAGCAAATTTTTCCCTTAAGGAACAATGTACAGGTAGTCCTCGACTTACAACAGTTCATTTAGTGACTGAAAAAAGTGACTTATGACCATTTTTCACACTTACGGCCATTGCAGCATCCCCGTGGTCTCGTGATTTACATTTGGATGCTTGACAACTGACTCGTATTTATGACTGTTGCAACGTCCTGGGATCACATGATCCCCTTTTTGTGACCGTCTGACCAGCAAAGCCAATGGGGAAGCCAGGTTCACTAAACAACGGTGTCACTAACTTAACAACTGCAGCGAGGTGCTTAGCAAATATAGCAAGAAATGTCATAAAATGGGGCAAAACTCACTTAACAAATGTCTCATTTAGCTACATAAATTCTGGGCTCAATTGTGGTCAGTCAGATGTCAACGCTGTGACACTGGATGTTCCCGTTATGACCACTGAGCAAAATTGCAGCTATTTTACTTTGCTTTTAACTTGCTTTCTTTGCTTATTAGGAAAACAGACCTAGAAGCGGGGGTGGGGCGAATACTTGAGCTCAGCTAGCCATAACAATAGTGCAGCTTCGTGGGAACTGAAGGACGCAAACTGATAAGGTTTGGTGGGCTGAGAGAATGGAGGAGAAGCCCACCTTTTAAGTTAATTGGAGAATGTGATTTATGACTGCCTAATGGGGGTGGGAATTGCAAATTGTTACTTTGTATCTGGGCGGGGGAAGTTTAGTTTGGGGTTCAGCTATGTAGTGCCAATACTTTGTTTCCTGAATAAAAGGTTCTTTAAGGAAGATTCCTTGCCTTGACATTGTACAGAAGGATATAAATAATATAATAATATAGAAAATAAATATATCAATCCAATCAATCAATATATAAATAAAACCTGAATACTTAGAAATGCAAGTCATATCTGCTACTTGTGCACAGCTACAGTGAACTGCATCAAATGATTTAGAAAAAGGATATTTGTGGGATCCTTTTTAAAAAATTTAAAGCTAGAGGAATTTCCTTAAATACCTTAAATATCATAGCTTTTATAAGTAATTAGGAATATTAAAACACTGACAATGATGGAGGTAGAAACATTACTCATAACTGATATTTCTTTACTGGGCAACAATCCAATATATATCATTTATGAAAGGTTTGGTTTCTTTGGATTTTTTTCTGAGGATGTTCAGGAGAAGAACAGTAGCCAACTAGTAAATTAACTGTTCCCTGGTAGCCTTTACAAATGAGACCTCTCATTAGTCTTGAAATCTCAGCATACTTTTTTCTTATTAAACAGAATTCCTGCATTTATTGGTCTTGGAGCTTTCAAGGCCTTATACTAGCTATACCCAAATGTTTGGGTGGGCTAAATTGGCAAGCAGAGGGTCTCTCTGCCCAGCAATGGTAGTAGCACTGCTATTTGGGGAAAAAAGGCCATGGTGGCTGAGGAATTCTGGGAGTTGAAGTCCACAAGTCATAAAATGGCCAAGTTTGAAGACCCCTGCCATAGAGATTCTTTGGTTGAGCTGTTTACTGTTGGCTCTTTGGCAGTACCTGATTCTTGGTCTGATGTTAACTTTGAAGTTAATCTATGCTGATCTGGGTGCTGATTGCTGGGGGAGGGGTGCTTGGGTCTTTTTTGTTCCTTTTTGGGCTGGGTGATAGTCTCTTTTGCATAATCTGTAGATGTTGTTGATGTCTATGTGTCTATTGATGGGTGATTTGTCAGAATGCCAGGTTGCTAGTAATTCCATGGCATGTTTGGACTTGGCTTGGTCTAGGATGATCACATTTTCCAAACTGAAACTATGGTTAAATCTGCCTGTATGTTGTGATTGTGTTGTCTGGTTCATTTGGGTTGTTCAGAAACGGAAGGGGAGCGGGGAAATCTCGGTGTGAAAGTTTTGTGCTCACCTGCTCAAATTATTTCAAAGCAATTAGCTTTTAACAGAACAGCAGGCTGGTTTCTGGCTTTCTGCAGAGAGAGGCAAATCCAGTGGGAATATTCCTCTTATAAGCAGAGGGAACTTGTGGTTAGGAATGACAGACAGACATTGATCACTCTCAGCAAAACACGTACAAACATATGTCATTGGGCACAATCTTCTGCAAGGCTCCCTTAGGTGCAAGGGTAGACTTTGTTATGTGAAAAAGTGTGTTGCCATGCTTGTTCTTAAGCACTGTCTAGTGATGATTGGACTAGATGGGTCATCTAGGATTTGAAGTAATTAGCTGGTTTGCATAATTAACCAGCTGGGTTCATGCAAAACACTACACATTAAACCTTAAACAACCTGGATTAACAAAATGCAATAACGGAATAACATAGAATAATAGGGTCGGAAGGGACTTTGGAAGTCTTCTAGTCCAACCTCCAGCTCAAGCAGGAGACTATGCTGTTCTGGACAAATGGTTGTCCAATCTCTTGAAAACCTCCAGTGATAGAGTACCCACAACTTCTAGAGAAAAGCCATTCCACTGGTTAATTGTTCTCACTGTCAGGAAATTCCTCTTTAGTTCCATATTGGTTCTCTCCTTGATTAGTTTCTATCCATCGCCTTCTTGTCCTGCCTTCAGGTGCTTTGGAGAATAGTTGACCCCCTCTTCTCTTTGACAGAAGCTCAAATATTGGAAGACTGATATCATGTCACCCCTAGTCCTTCTCTTCATTAGAGTGGCATACCTAGTTCCCACAACCATTCATCATTTACTCTCCAGCCCCCAAATAATCTTTGTTGCTCTGCTCTTCACTCTTTCTAGGGTTTCGACACCTTTTTTGTATCATGACACCCAGACTTGATACAAAGTGTGGATGTATTCACACAAGTATTGGATGGACCACAAGTGTGGTCTTACCAAGGCAGGTTAAAGTGGTACTAACACTTCATGTGACCTATCTGTTGATACAGCCTAGGACTGTGTTGACTTTTTTTCTTGCCTCCAAAACAATTTAGCCAAATGCACGGCCTACCAAGATTTCTTTTGACCCCCCAGGAAGAAATAGGGCACTACGCCTACTAATTGAGTTGGTCTTCAACAACATACACAATGCCCAGCCCAACACCCAATTGATGGAGTTGCATTGTAATTGACATTGTATAACGTAACATGATGTTTTGATTCATACCACACGCTGTAAGGTAATGGTGGGGTTCACGTATCACAAGAAGTACAAAGTCTCCAACTCCATTTTAGCTGAGCCCAGTTTTGTTGTATGAACACAGCCATTAGGTCATACTGTGAATAGACTTTGTATGTGACTCACACTATGGCTTATTTTAAGTTGACCTATCTTAGCCGTACCTTTGTGTTTTGTCTAAACCAGGGTGAGAGATTGTAACAGTTATCTCTCCCTAGTAGATTGCAGTCACTGAGATGGATTATGGCTGGAGAAGTCTTAGTGTAGTTCCATCCTCTTGTTGTGGTTCTCTTTTTCATTTCTTGCAAGCATGTGGGGATTTCAATTTAGGGACTAAGAGACTAATGTAATGGCTTTGACCCTGGTCAAGCTATTGTGCACTTTTAATTTTCTTTGAAATGCATATTTAAGAAATCACAGCTGGCCA